ACGCCGTTTTGAACATTTCAGTCATAACACGGAGTATCAACTTCATGTGGGAGGAAAGCCTGAAGTGATGCAGGTCGCACATATCCATCACTGGTGAAACCAGTCAGCACGGCCGTGGTTCTTACAAGCAGGTGACAAGTTGACAACATGATAAAGCTGATTACTATACAACTTTATTAAAAACAAATCTACAAACGTTATAAAGGAAAGCACCAAGGAAATAATTAAACAATAATTTGTTCTGAAGTGCTCCAATGATCAGGGGTGTCATTAAACAAGAAATAATAATGAAAATGTGGTAACAGCTTCACAGGTTTACTACTAACAACTAATTGTACCAATAAACGACAATAAACATGATGAAATGAGCCAAATCTGCGCTAACAAAGATCTGATTAATTAAATCAGAGCAAACACACAAGCGGCTGAGCCAAGCAATTGTATTACAGTAATAAAATAAGGGTAGCTAAAACAACACTTTGACAACACAACAACAACAACAACAACAAACTTACATCCTTGGGGATAAAGACACAAGATCTTGAAAAAAAGTTGATGTATATACAGGGCGCAGACCTGAGAGAGGTCAGTCTCTCCTTCACTGCCGGGGAATACAATAGTCTGAGGCACTTAACCAACGTGTTTCTTAACACCAGGAAAACACGGATAACAAACTACCATGTCCATACTAATGATGTAAGTATCAAAATAAAGCACTGAACATGAGCTATCCAATGGTATCATTAAAGATTACAACAAGCTGTGCATAATTATTTGGGAGGCAACAGCGATCAAAAATACATGAGAAATATCGGAGTGTACATATCAATTCTCCGAATGTTTGAAAATCATAGTTACAAAAACATTTTCAAAATATGAATAAGGTAGTGAACATACAGGAGATAATACATGAGTGTGCCATTAGTTGTTTGGTTTGACTTGAATACATCCAGAGCAGCATGGCTCAACCACATCTGTATATATCCATTCTCGTGAGAGGCCGAAATAGATTTTCAAAATTAATATGACAAATGCAGACTGAATTTGAAACATGGCAGAAACCAATGTGTACCCTCGCAGCTATATAAACACTAAACTTTTATCAGTGAGGCTTTGAATTCCCAAATTATACTAAAATTCCAAATCATTAACGTTTGATCTATGTATGCTTTATATTTGTAATAATGATCATTGTTGCCTCCCCAATAAACGTATGAAATTTAATTCATGATAAATATCGGAGTGTACATATAAATTCCCCTAATGTTTGAAAATCATAGTTACAAAAACATTTTCAGGAGATAACAAACATCAAGTCAATACATGGTATGAGTGCGCCATTAGTTTGTTTGTTGTTTAACGCTACACTCTGCAATATCTCAGCTATATGACGATTGTTTATAAATAATCGAGTCTGGACCAGACAATCCAGTGATTGACATCATGAGCATCAATCTATGCAAATGGGATACGATGACATGCATCAACAAAGTCAGCGAGCCTGACCACCCGATCCCGTTAGTCGCCTCTTACAACAAGCATAGTCACCTTTTTCGACAAGCATGGGTTGCTGAAGACCTATTCTCCCCTGGGTCACTAATTCTCTACCACAGAATGCAACGACGACCGCTTGACTTTTCTGAGCGGTGTCGGAAATATAGCCGGGGAGCGGTGCAGTCACTAGACCTTTACAAGGGTTGATTTTGTCACCCAGTGACAAATGATAGTATACCATCACTCAGACAATGAAGGCAATATTTGACACATGACAAGAACTATTAAACTATTTATCACGGGCTTGTGGATTTTGACTGCTTTCAGCACTATTCAAGAATATCAGGTCAGCAGACATGGTGACATGTGGGAAGGTGAGGTGGAATGGGGTATAATGTCGTTCAAGCTTAATGCCGAGCTTCAGGCACGGTAACAACAAGTGTAATCTTATAACATCATTTGGTATGACGCGACCAGGAATCGACCCCGACCATCCGCTCTCCGGATAAACTCTATCCACTAGACCACAAAGGCATTGACACGTGACGAATGGAACCCAACCCAGCAAACACTTTAGCCACATTTCTAGGCTGTTACCTCAAGTTAAAACTGTTATACTTATTAAATACTTAATGTATGTGTGAACGTATTGCTATTGATATGAAAAACATTAGTTGTGTCATTAATGTCACTGGAACTTGCAATGACAGAGGCAATATGTGGCCCAGATATGTTGAACGATTGAAACTTGGTGTAAGTGTCTATACTCATACTTTGAAGAATGCTAGGTTTGTTTAAACGGTATCAAATGAATACATCCAGAGCAGCATGGCTCAACCACATCTGTATATATCCATTCTTGTGACAGGCCGAAATAGATTTTGAAAATTAATATGACAAATGCAGACTGAATTTGAAACATGGCAGAAACCGATGTGTACCCTCGCAGCTATAAATACTAAACTTTTATCATTGAGGCTTTGAACTATACACTAAAATTCGAAAACATTACCGTTGCAATTAATTATGCCTGTATGTATCAATCCTGAGAGAGGCTGTAATAAATTGTATAAGCTGGTTAAGAAGTAGTAAGTGAGTTGTATTTTACGCCGCTTTTAGCAATTTTCAGCAAAATGACTGCGGGGGACACCAGAAATGGGCTTCACACATTGTACCGATTTGGGGAAAGGAACACTTGTCTTCAGCGTGACGAGCGAACACTTTAACCACTAGGCTACCCCACCGGACCCTCGGTTTTGGAGTAGAACGTAACACAACATGGAAGTCCCATTTAACCCACTCCTATACTAACCCAAGTGATACAGTTAAGTACAACGTGCTGACTATGATTATACCGATTGTGGGTTTTGGAGTCTTCAGTGTGACAATCACACAGCATGGCTATTGGACACACTCCAGTCAATCATGGATGAACGAAGCAGAGTCCAAAACTAGTCTATTGATATTCGTAGGAAATGCCTGTTGGAGAGAAGGATACATCCATTCTCTATACATGCACGTTTAACCGTCCCATTTCTGGATATATATAGTTATTGGAACAAGACTGAATACACATTTTTTCAATATTTTCTGTGAAAAATGACAAATAGCACATAGGAGAACCTACGTGTCATAAACAATGGATGACGTCATTAGTTATATGCAAACAATGCGTTGATATGACGTGGCATTGCTATGGGACGCTTCGCAAATAATATAAACAATGGGATAATAGAATTACAAAGCATTATAATTGCTATCCCATGATGACTGGCTCAGTGAGAATTGATGAAAATTTTAGTAATATAGCAAATTATCCACTGGGCGTGCAGACATGCCCGACTGTGTCCGAGTGTGTGTCCGAGTGTGTGCCCGAGTGTGTGCCCGAGTGTGTGCCCGAATATGTGCCCATGTGTGTGCCCATGCGTGTCCCCATGCGTGTGCCCAAGTGTGTGCCCGTGTTTTCCCGTGCCCGAGTGTTTGCCCGAGTGTTTGCCCGAGTGTGTGCCCGAGTGTGTGCCCGAGTGTGTGCCCGAGTGTGTGCCCGAGTGTGTGCCCGAGTGTGTGCCCGAGTGTGTGCCCGAGTGTGTGCCCTTGTGTGTGCCCGAGTGTGCCCGTGATTTCCTGTGCCCGAGTGTGCCCGTGTGTGTGCCCGTATTTGTGCATGAGTTATGTCCGTGTGTGTGCCCGTTTGTGTGTGCCCGAGTGTGTGCCCGTATATGTGCATGAGTTATGTCCGTGTGTGTGCCCGTTTGTGTGTGCCCGAGTGTGCCAGTGTGTGCCCGAGTGTGTGCCCGAGGGTGTGCCCGTGTGTGTGCCCGAGGGTGTGCCCGTATTTTCCCGTGCCCGAGTGTTTGTCCGTGTGTGTGCTCGCATGTGTGCCCGCATGTGTGCCCGAGTGTGTGCTCGTGTGTGTGCCCGAGTGTGTGCCCGTGTGTATGCCCGAATGTGCGCGTGTGTGTGCCTGAGTGTGTCCCAGGGTGTGTGCCCCTGTGTGTGCCCGAGTATGTGCTGTGTTTTCCCGTGCCCGTGTGTGTGCCCGAGTGTGTGCCCGAGAGTGTGCCCGCATGTGTGCGCGTATGTGTGCCCGTGTGTGTGCGCGTATGTGTGCCTGAGTGTGTGCCCGTGTATATGACCGAATGTGCGCGTGTGTCTGCCCGTGTGTGTGTCCGTGTGTGTGCCTGTGTGTGTGCCCGTGATTTCCTGTGCCCGAGTGTGCCCTTGTGTGTGCCCGTGTTTGTGCCTGAGTGTGTGCCCGTGTGTGTGCCCGAGGGTGTGCCCGAGGGTGTGCCCGTGTTTTCCCGTGTCCGTGTGTGTCCGCATGTGTGCCCGAGGGTGTGCCCGTGTGTGTGCTCGAGTGTGTGCGTGTGTGTGCCCGAGTGTGTCCCAGGGTGTGTGCCCGTGTGTATGCCCGAGTGTGCGCGTGTGTGTGCACGAGTGTGTCCCAGGGTGTGTGCCCGTGTGTGTGCCCGAGTATGTGCCTGTGTTTTCACGTGCCCGTGTGTGCCCGAGTGTGTGCCCGAGAGTGTGCCCGCATGTGTGCGCGTATGTGTGCCCGTGTGTGTGCCCGAGGTTTCTGCCCGTGTGTGTGCGCGTATGTTTGCCTGAGTGTGTGCCCGTGTGTATGACCGAATGTGCGCGTGTGTCTGCCCGTATGTGTGCACGTGTGTGTGCACGTGTGTGTGCCCGAGTGTGTGCCCGATTATGTGCCCGAGTGTGTGCCCGTGTGTGTGCCCGTATATGTGCCCGAGTGTGTGCCTGAATGTGTGCCCGAGTGTGTAGTCGAGTGTGTGCCCGAGTGTGCCCGAGTGTGCCCGTGTGTGTACGCGTATGTGTGCCCGAGAGTGTGCCCGAGTCTGCCCGTGTGTGTGCGCGTATGTGTGCCAGAGATTGTGCCCGAGATTGTGCCCGTGTGTTCCCGAGTGTGTGCCCGTGTGTGTGCCCGAGTGTGTCCGTGTGTGTGCCAGTGAGTGTGCCCGTGAGTGTGTCCATGTGTGTGCCCGAGTATGTGCCCGTGTGTGCCCGTGTTTTCCCGTGCCCGAGTGTGCCCGTGTGTGTGCCCGAGTGTGTGCCTCTGTGTGTGTCCGTGTTTTACCGTGCCCGTGTGTGTGCCCGAGTGTGTGCCCGAGTGTGTGCCCGAGTGTGTTCCCGTGTGTGTCCCCGGGTGTGTGCCCGTGTGTGTGCCCGAGTGTGTGCCCGAGTGTGTGCCCGAAGGTGTGCCCGTATGTGTGACCGAGCGTGTGTCCGAGTGTGTGCCCGTGAGTGTGCCCGAGTGTTTGCCCGAGTGTGTGCCCGAAGGTGTGCCCGTGTTTTCCCGTGCCCGAGTGTGTGCCCGTATGTGTGACCGAGCGTGTGCCCGTGTGTGTGCCCCAGTGTGTGCCCGTGAGTGTGCCCGAGTGTTTGCCCGAGTGTGTGCCCGAAGGTGTGCCCGTGTTTTCCCGTGCCCGAGTGTGTGCCCGTATGTGTGTGCCCGTATGTGTGTGCCCGCATGTGTGCCCGAGTGTGTGCCCGAGTGTGTGCCCGTATGTGTGTGCCCGAGTGTGTGCCCCGAGTGTGTGCCCGTGTGTGTGCCCGAAGGTGTGCCCGTGTTTTCCCGTGCGTGTGCCGGTGTGTGTGCCCGAGTGTGTCCCCGGGTGTATGCCCGTGTGTGTGCCCGAGTGATTCCCCGTGTGTGTGCCCGAAGGTGTGCCCGTGTTTTCCCGTGCCGGAGTGTGTGCCCGAGTGTGTGCCCGTATGTGTGTGCCCGGATGTGTGCCCGAGTGTGTTCTCGGGTGTGTGCCCGTGTGTGTGCCCGTGTGTGTGCCCGAAGATGTGCCCGTATGTGTGACCGTGTGTGTGCCCGAGCGTGTGCCCGTGAGTGTGCCCGAGTGTTTGCCCGTGTGTGTGCCCGAAGGTGTGCCCGAGTGTGTGCCCCGAGTGTGTGCCCGCATGTGTGCCCGAGTGTGTGCCCCGAGTGTGTGCCCGTGTGTGTGCCCGAAGGTGTGTCCGTGTGTGTGCCCGAAGGTGTGCCCGTGTTTTCCCGTGCCCGAGTGTTTGCCAGTGTGTGTGCCGGTGTGTGTATTTGAGTGTGTCCCGGGGTGTAAGCCCGGGTGTGTGCCCGAGTGTGTGCCCGAGTGTGACCGTATGTGTCCCCGAGTGTGTGCCCGTGTGTTTGCCCGTATGTGTGCCTGAGTGTGCAATTGAGGCAGGTGGCCACTAAGGCAGGTGGCCACGAAGGCCGGTGGCAACTGAGGCGGGTGGCAATTGAGGCGGGAGGCAACTCAGGTGGGTGGCAACTCAGGCTGGCAACTGGGGGCAACTGACGCAGGTGGCAACAGACTCATTCCACCAACGAAATGACAATATGTAGGAACCCTGAGGTCATTCAGGTCGTTGTTAACACCCCTTTATGGAACTCCCTCCACGGTCGAAATTACAACGTGGAGGAACCCTGAGGTGATGTCAAGTCATCAACACACCTTCACGGAACTCCCTCTACCGTCAAATTAGAATGAGGAGGGACCCTGATGTGTTGATGACTTGACTGTAAATAACAGCGACAAAATACATTCCATAATCATTAGGGTCCAACTGAGTCTGGCTCCAACTAAGACGGGATTACAACCGAGGCAGACAGGAACTGAGGCGGTGCAATTGAGGCAGGTGGCCACTAAGGCAGGTGGCCACGAAGGCCAGTGGCAACTGAGGCGGGAGGCAACTCAGATGGGTGGGAACTCAGGTGGGTGGCAACTGGGGGCAACTGGGGGCAACTGACGCAGGTGGCAACAGACTCATTCCACCAACGAAATGACAATATGTAGGAACCCTGAGGTCATTCAGGTCGTTGTTAACACCCCTTTATGGAACTCCCTCCACGGTCGAAATTACAACGTGGAGGAACCCTGAGGTGATGTCAAGTCATCAACACACCTTCATGGAACTCCCTCTACCGTCAAATTAGAATGAGGAGGGACCCTGATGTGTTGATGACTTGACTGTAAATAACAGCGACAAAATACATTCCATAATCATTAGGGTCCAACTGAGTCTGGCTCCAACTAAGACGGGATTACAACCGAGGCAGACAGGAACTGAGGCGGTGCAATTGAGGCAGGTGGCCACTAAGGCAGGTGGCCACGAAGGCCGGTGGCAACTGAGGCGGGTGGCAACTGAGGCGGGAGGCAACTCAGGTGGGTGGCAGCTGGGGGCAACTGACGCAGGTGGCAACAGACTCATTCCACCAACGAAATGACAATATGTAGGAACCCTCAGGTCATTCAGGTCGTTGTTAACACCCCTTTATGGGACTCCCTCCACGGTCGAAATTACAACGTGGAGGGACCTTGAGGTGATGTCAAGTCATCAACACACCTTCATGGAACTCCCTCTACCGTCAAATAAGAATGAGGAGGGACCCTGATGTGTTGATGACTTGACGACTGTAAATAACAGCGACAAAATACATTCCATAATCATAAGGGGCCAACTGAGTCTGGCTCCAACTAAGACGGGATAATAACCGAGGCAGACAGGAACTGAGGCGGTGCAATTGAGGCAGGTGGCCACTAAGGCAGGTGGCCACGAAGGCCAGTGGCAACTGAGGCGGGAGGCAACTCAGATGGGTGGGAACTGAGGTGGGTGGCAACTGGGGGCAACAGGGGGCAACTGACGCAGGTGGCAACAGACTCATTCCACCAACGAAATGACAATATGTAGGAACCCTCAGGTCATTCAGGTCGTTGTTAACACCCCTTCATGGGACACCCTCCACGGTTGAAATTACAACGTGGAGGGACCCTGAGGTGATGTCAAGTCATCAACACACCTTCATGGAACTCCCTCTACCGTCAAATTAGAATGAGGAGGGACCCTGATGTGTTGATGACTTGACTGTAAATAACAGCGACAAAATACATTCCATAATCATAAGGGGCCAACTGAGTCTGGCTCAAACTAAGACGGGATAACAACCGAGGCAGACAGGAACTGAGGCGGTGCAATTGAGGCAGGTGGCCACTAAGGCAGGTGGCCACGAAGGCCGGTGGCAACTGAGGCGGGTGGCAACTGAGGCGGGAGGCAACTCAGGTGGGTGGCAACTGGGGGCAACTGACGCAGGTGGCAACAGACTCATTCCACCAACGAAATGACAATATGTAGGAACCCTGAGGTCATTCAGGTCGTTGTTAACACCCCTTTATGGGACTCCCTCCACGGTCGAAATTACAACGTGGAGGGACCTTGAGGTGATGTCAAGTCATCAACACACCTTCATGGAACTCCCTCTACCGTCAAATTAGAATGAGGAGGGACCCTGATGTGTTGATGACTTGACGACTGTAAATAACAGCGACAAAATACATTCCATAATCATAAGGGGCCAACTGAGTCTGGCTCCAACTAAGACGGGATAATAACCGAGGCAGACAGGAACTGAGGCGGTGCAATTGAGGCAGGTGGCCACTATGGCAGGTGGCCACGAAGGCCAGTGGCAACTGAGGCGGGAGGCAACTCAGATGGGTGGGAACTGAGGTGGGTGGCAACTGGGGGCAACAGGGGGCAACTGACGCAGGTGGCAACAGACTCATTCCACCAACGAAATGACAATATGTAGGAACCCTCAGGTCATTCAGGTCGTTGTTAACACCCCTTCATGGGACACCCTCCACGGTTGAAATTACAACGTGGAGGGACCCTGAGGTGATGTCAAGTCATCAACACACCTTCATGGAACTCCCTCTACCGTCAAATTAGAATGAGGAGGGACCCTGATGTGTTGATGACTTGACTGTAAATAACAGCGACAAAATACATTCCATAATCATAAGGGGCCAACTGAGTCTGGCTCAAACTAAGACGGGATAACAACCGAGGCAGACAAGAACTGAGGCGGTGCAATTGAGGCAGGTGGCCACTAAGGCAGGTGGCCACGAAGGCCGGTGGCAATTGAGGCGGGTGGCAACTGAGGCGGGAGGCGACTCAGGTGGGTGGGAACTGAGGTGGGTGGCAACTGGGGGCAACAGGGGGCAACTGACGCAGGTGGCAACAGACTCATTCCACCAACGAAATGACAATATGTAGGAACCCTCAGGTCATTCAGGTCGTTGTTAACACCCCTTTATGGGACTCCCTCCACGGTCGAAATTACAACGTGGAGGGACCCTGAGGTGATGTCAAGTCATCAACACACCTTCATGGAACTCCCTCTACCGTCAAATTAGAATGAGGAGGGGCCCTGATGTGTTGATGACTTGACGACTGTAAATAACAGCGACAAAATACATTCCATAATCATAAGGGGCCAACTGAGTCTGGCTCCAACTAAGACGGGATAACAACCGAGGCAGACAGGAACTGAGGCGGTGCAATTGAGGCAGGTGGCCACTAAGGCAGGTGGCCACGAAGGCCAGTGGCAACTGAGGCGGGTGGCAACTGAGGCGGGAGGCAACTCAGGTGGGTGGCAACTGGGGGCAACTGACGCAGGTGGCAACAGACTCATTCCACCAACGAAATGACAATATGTAGGAACCCTGAGGTCATTCAGGTCGTTGTTAACACCCCTTTATGGAACTCCCTCCACGGTCGAAATTACAACGTGGAGGAACCCTGAGGTGATGTCAAGTCATCAACACACCTTCATGGAACTCCCTCTACCGTCAAATTAGAATGAGGAGGGACCCTGATGTGTTGATGACTTGACTGTAAATAACAGCGACAAAATACATTCCATAATCATTAGGGTCCAACTGAGTCTGGCTCCAACTAAGACGGGATTACAACCGAGGCAGACAGGAACTGAGGCGGTGCAATTGAGGCAGGTGGCCACTAAGGCAGGTGGCCACGAAGGCCGGTGGCAACTGAGGCGGGTGGCAACTGAGGCGGGAGGCAACTCAGGTGGGTGGCAGCTGGGGGCAACTGACGCAGGTGGCAACAGACTCATTCCACCAACGAAATGACAATATGTAGGAACCCTCAGGTCATTCAGGTCGTTGTTAACACCCCTTTATGGGACTCCCTCCACGGTCGAAATTACAACGTGGAGGGACCTTGAGGTGATGTCAAGTCATCAACACACCTTCATGGAACTCCCTCTACCGTCAAATTAGAATGAGGAGGGACCCTGATGTGTTGATGACTTGACGACTGTAAATAACAGCGACAAAATACATTCCATAATCATAAGGGGTCAACTGAGTCTGGCTCCAACTAAGACGGGATAATAACCGAGGCAGACAGGAACTGAGGCGGTGCAATTGAGGCAGGTGGCCACTAAGGCAGGTGGCCACGAAGGCCAGTGGCAACTGAGGCGGGAGGCAACTCAGATGGGTGGGAACTGAGGTGGGTGGCAACTGGGGGCAACAGGGGGCAACTGACGCAGGTGGCAACAGACTCATTCCACCAACGAAATGACAATATGTAGGAACCCTCAGGTCATTCAGGTCGTTGTTAACACCCCTTCATGGGACACCCTCCACGGTTGAAATTACAACGTGGAGGGACCCTGAGGTGATGTCAAGTCATCAACACACCTTCATGGAACTCCCTCTACCGTCAAATTAGAATGAGGAGGGACCCTGATGTGTTGATGACTTGACTGTAAATAACAGCGACAAAATACATTCCATAATCATAAGGGGCCAACTGAGTCTGGCTCAAACTAAGACGGGATAACAACCGAGGCAGACAAGAACTGAGGCGGTGCAATTGAGGCAGGTGGCCACTAAGGCAGGTGGCCACGAAGGCCGGTGGCAATTGAGGCGGGTGGCAACTGAGGCGGGAGGCAACTCAGGTGGGTGGGAACTGAGGTGGGTGGCAACTGGGGGCAACTGACGCAGGTGGCAACAGACTCATTCCACCAACGAAATGACAATATGTAGGAACCCTCAGGTCATTCAGGTCGTTGTTAACACCCCTTTATGGGACTCCCTCCACGGTCGAAATTACAACGTGGAGGGACCCTGAGGTGATGTCAAGTCATCAACACACCTTCATGGAACTCCCTCTACCGTCAAATTAGAATGAGGAGGGGCCCTGATGTGTTGATGACTTGACGACTGTAAATAACAGCGACAAAATACATTCCATAATC